TCCCTGGGGTGGGTGGCATGTTCCTGGGACTGGTGTCACGTCCTTGGGGTGGGTGTCACCTCACCAACAGTGAAGCCCAAGAAAGAGGAGGAGGAGGAGGAGGAGCGCTGGGCAGAGGAGAAGGGCCAGGACGGCAAAGGTGGGTGCCAGCCCCCATCCCTGTCCCCTCACACCTGTCCCCGTCCCTGCYCCCTCACTGTGCCCCTTTCCCAGGAAAACCCAAAAAGCCAGGAGGGAAGAAGTGGGATCYGGATGAGGAGGAACGGGCCCCTCCRGCAGAGAAGAAAAGTGAGCGTCCCCATTCCTGGGGTGATAGGGACACCCTGCTGGGAGGGGAAGCCCCTCACCCTCTACACCCCTGCTGTCCCCAGRGTGTCCCCCAATCGGGCTGGAGTCCCAYCGCATCGAGGATGACCAGATCCTGGCCTCCTCCATGCTGCGGCACGGGCTGGGTGCCCAGCGCGGCCGCCTCAACATGCAGGTGAGTGTCACCCCCGTGCGCCCACCCCACGGGTGACAGTGACACCCTYGGCCACACTCAGCTCGCTGCTCCCCAGGCGGGCACCAACGAGGATGATTTCTTTGACGGAGCGTGGTGCGCTGAGGACGACAGCCGGGCGCACTGGCTCGAGGTGGACACCCGCCGCATCACCATGTTCACCGGGGTCATCACCCAGGGACGCGACTCCCAGATCCAGTACGGGGACAGGGGGGTGGCACCGGGGACACGGGGCCCCAGCAGAGCAGCGAGTGAACTTCTGTCCCAATCTGTCCCTGTCCTCCCACAGCGATGACTTTGTCACCAGCTTCTACGTGGGCTTCAGCAATGACAGCCAGCACTGGGTGATGTACAGCAATGGCTACGAGGAGATGGTGGGGACCTGTTCTGGGCGGGGGACATGGGRACAAYGGGGACCCTCCTGGGTACATCTGCCCCTTCTCAGCAGATGTTTTATGGCAATGTGGACAAGGACACGCCGGTGCTGAGCGAGTTCCCTGAGCCAATGGTGGCCCGGTACATCCGCATTTACCCCCAGCGCTGGAACGGGAGCCTCTGCCTGCGCCTCGAGGTCCTGGGGTGCCCCCTCTCCGGTAACAGTCACCCCAAAGCAGCCTGGGGGCCATGGAGGGTGGGATCTCTCCAGCCATCCCCTGCTGCTGTGTCCCTGTCCCCTCCACAGCTGTCAGCAGCTACTACACCCAGCAGAACGAGGTGACCTCCACAGACAACCTGGACTTCCGACATCACTCCTACAAGGACATGAGGCAGGTGGGCACGGCTGCGGGGGCACAGCGGGTGTGGTGTGGGATCCTCTGTAGCGGATGGAATACTTGGTGAACAAATCCATGGGGTGGGATCCTCTGGGGGGTTGGAATGGTTGTGGGATCCTTCATGGTGGTGAGATCCTCAGGGCAGGGGGGGTTGTTCCATGGGGGTGGGCACCTCCTTGGGGATGAGCAGCTTTGTGGGGGATGGGATCCTCTGTGGGGTGGGATCCTCCATGAGGAGTGGCTATTTCAGTGATGATGGGCACATCTTTGGGGCATGGCATTCTTGGTGGTGGGCATCTCCATAGGATGGGATCCTCCGTGGGGGTGGGATTGTCTGCAGGGTRTGGGCTCATCCCCCAAGCACTGCCCCCATCCCTCCCCACCCTGCAGCTGATGAAGGTGGTGAACGAGGAGTGTCCCACCATCACCCGCATCTACAACATCGGCAAGAGCTCCCGGGGGCTGAAGATCTACGCCATGGAGATCTCCGACAACCCGGGCGAGCACGAGACAGGTGAGGGAAGTGTGAGGAACCCCTCAGCCACGGTCCCTGGTGCTCGCTGACCCTGCTCCACCACTGCCTCCAGGTGAGCCCGAGTTCCGGTACACAGCGGGGCTGCACGGCAATGAGGCACTGGGCCGGGAGCTGCTGCTGCTGCTGATGCAGTTCCTGTGCAAGGAGTACCAGGAYGGCAATCCCCGTGTGCGGGGTCTGGTCACCGACACCCGCATCCACCTCGTCCCATCCCTCAACCCCGATGGCTACGAGCTGGCCCATGAGGCGGTGAGGGGGTGGTGGGTTGGGATGGGCCGTGAGGCAGTGGAGCTGTGGGGTAGGATGTGGGGTGCTGGGATGGGCTGTGGGGCAGTGGGATGGGATGGCAAAGTTGTAGGATGCAGCTTACTCCTCCACTGCATGGGGGGTGAGGGCAGT